GATATTCGCGCGACTCACCCGACTCGTGCTGCCCGCCCGCGGGTGGCATCCCCCATTATGAGAGGAATTCGGCACTTGCTCGCGCCGTACTTCGCAGGTGCGCGAGCCGGAGAACGGAAGAAAGGGACTCATCAGTCGAACGTCGTGAAGCTCACACGTTACCGTTTTTTCGCACGTGCAAACTCGGAGTACTCGGTCGCCCATCGCAGACCACGAAGGCCTAATCGCTTGCTATCCTGCCTATCTCTGCCTGCTTGCTATACCTGCCTGTCCGTGCCCGCTTGCTATGCCGGACTGTTGCATGCTTTCGCCTTGCACGCCAGAGATCTCGCCAACGGGAGGACGACGTCGACACCCAGGAGGCGCCGGGCAACGACACGGTGAGTCGCCACGCATCTTTTTTGATATTCGCTTGCTAGCTTTGCTTTATTCGCTTTTGCGAGGGCACGGGCCCTCTGGTCCTTCGAGAAATTTTGTTGACTAATCGCAAATCCGGGGAGCGCCTCATACCCCCCCGTGCAACGGCCTTGAGCAAAAAATATAGGGAGGAACTCAAGAAGCAACAATCTTTAATATCAAGGTAAGATGAAATTGTTTTATTTGAGTGACAATATACGTGCAAGAGCGTGGAGAGGGACCGCACGGAGAGGAAAAAAGAAGAATCTACTGTCTGATATTTGGACCCACGCACACCAAAAATACCAACCACAAAGTTAGCAGTCGAAAATGGTTGGCAGGAATCAGAAGGACAATACGAATTGGACTGGTTTGAAGGGCACCAAATTCCTACATTTGTTAAAGACGTCGTAATTCAACCAAATGATGAATCAGGTAATAAATAATTGCAAGCAAATTTGTCAGCCTTTTCATCATTAATAAACTAATCAAATGTATTATATGTTTACTAATTTGCAGATGCTGAGTTTGAGGTAACTGATATCGAAGAAAATTACGATGAGTCTGATAAAGCATATGATTGTAACATTGATTCTGATTAGAAAAATTATTTTAATTTTTGTAATATTAATTTAAGTACGATATTGAAATATATTTGCTGATTGACGCGTATCTTGACGCGAGACACTACCGTGTCTCTTGATAAAATATATTTTTAAAAAGGTTACGGCTTTTCTTAAATAAAAATTGACGATTGTTTTTTTCTTATTTTCAATCCCATAAACTACTTGCTTTATTATATTTTCATTTTTACAAACCATACTTTTTATGACTTAAGCGTGTTTCTGACGCGTCCCGTTTCGTCCCGTTGACTTATTTCAATATTTTTAATGTTAAAGAAATTATAGATAATATTTTGTATTAAAACCATTTATTTTATTATTAAATATAATCAGCCCGCGCCATCGAGCGCGCTATATAAATCAAGCGCGCGGCGCGCCTTTCTATTAGCTGCTGACGGTGTTTGTTACATAAAAATTCTGACTGACTATGTTTTTCTTGTTTTAAATAATATTAACTAATTGTATGCAAAATTTTAGATTTTATACAACACTTTCACCAACTACAATTTTTTGATGATTTTAGCGCGCTGCTGACGCGTACCGTTGCAATATTTTGCTGACTGACCATACCTACACAGTTTGTTAGTTAACTTACTATCTACAAACTAATTTTCAAATTTTATAAAACAGTTGCGACATACATGTTTTTTTTACAAGTTTGGAGCCGCCCCCGCGCCAGCTGTTAGCGAAACTGGCTAACTGACGGTAGGCTATTGATATACAACCGTTACATGACCTAATGTTAAAATTACAGCCTTTCTAAAACTGTTGCAGTTTTGGTCCCTCAGTTCCCCGACTAGTATCTCGGCAACGGTGGCGGCGAGAGCGCGATCGTGACGTACAATCGTCGCGCGTTCCAGACATTCGATCAGAGAATCTGCGGACAGCTGTGCTACGATTTCTTCGCGAGATCGATTGGGGGGGAGCGGACAGACGATCGACGTTCTCCCGCGATGTCGCTGACGCTCACGTTGACCGGGACCGACAGCGTTCTCACGGCGAGTCACTTTCCCGCTTTGGATCTGAGCGACGGCGAATACGAGCTGGGTTTGGCGACTTTTGAAACGTACAATTCGATACCGAACGTTACGTCCGCGAACAATCGCTTCTACTACGGCGAGGACGAACGGAGAATCGTCGTTCCGGAAGGTTCGTACGAGCTGCGAGCCGTGAGCAGATATTTGCGCGCCGCTATTCTCCATCGCGAACGTCGCGCCCGCGAGAGAGACAAAATTAAGGAGAAAAGAGGAAAACCGCGGACCGACGACGCTGGACGGGTAAAAGAAGAAACCGAACGGAGAAGAACGAAACCGACAACGAGATTTATCGCGCATACGTGGACGAAGACGACGACGACGACGATGACAACGATGGCGACGGTTATGACATATATGGGGACGACGACGGTGGTGACAGAGTGCTCGATATTCGCGCCAACGAGAACCATGAGAAGCGAGATAAAGTGCGCCTATCGAGTGAATTTTACAAAACCGAACAACATCGGTTCTCTTTTGGGTTTCTCGAGTGATCGAATCCTAAAACCGAACAAATGGTACGTTTCCGACGGACCCGTTGACGTCATGAGCGTGAACATAATTCGCATCGAGTGCAGTATCACCGCGGGAGCGTACAGCAACGGACGCTCGGTGCACGCGATACACGAATTCGCGCCGAAAGTTCCACCAGGATATAAACTGTCGGAGACTCCGACGCCGATCATTTACCTCCCGATCGTTGCGCGAAACGTCACCGATATCACGGTGCGAATCGTGGATCAGAAAGATCGGCTGATCGACTTTCGTGGCGAGGAGATAACGATCAGATTGCACGTACGTCGTCGTCACGGTTAGTGTGTGTGTGCACGTATCCCTGAAGAAAGAGAGAGCGAGTGGAGGGATGCTTGTTCTGAACGGATCTAGCGCGAATTGTACGAACGAGCGAGCTAGCCCGTTCTACGACGAGATCGGGAACGTAGGAAAGAGAAAAGGCGGAGGAGGGGGACCCGTTTTCAGCAACGCCAACGTCAGATTCCTACGATCGCTGGGTCTCGCCGTAAGAAGCGCGTCACCGTCGAGCCGTTTCTACCTCGAGAAGAAAAATCATGGCCGACATCCTGAGTATCGGCGGTGAGCCGATCTTCGACGAGCGCATCGTCGGAATCAAGACTCACACGTATAACCCGTACGTCAACACGACGTTCGGACACAACGACGAGATACGAATACCCATACAGCAGCAGGATCTGTATACGCTGCCGTGCGACAGTTTCCTGTACGTCGAGGGACGACTCAACGACGACGGCGCGACGAATGAGGAACAATACGCGAAATTAGTCAACAACTGCGTCGCGTTTATGTTCGACGAAATTCGATACGAGCTCGACGGCGTGGAGATCGACTGGTGTAGAAACGTCGGCATAACCAGCACGATAAAGAACTACGTGTCGCTGACCGTCAAACGAGCCAGAAAACTGCAGAACGCTGGATGGAGTTATCCGACGAGCGAATCGAATCTGAACAACGCGTCCCATCAATTCAACTTTTGCGTAGCTTTGAATATTCTTTTGGGTTTCTGCGAGGACTACAGACGCGTGGTGATAAACGCGCGACACGAGCTTATCCTGATACGCTCTCGTAGCGACCACAACTGCGTCGCAGATCCGAAGAAGACCGTGCCGAGAGATCCGGCCAAGGATCCTAAAATTACGTTGTTGAAAGTGCAATGGCGTATGCCTCACGTGGCGCTGAACGACGTGACCAAATTATCGCTGTTGCGAACGTTGGAGAGCGGACGATTTCTGAGCGCGGGCTTTCGCTCGTGAGATCTGTACGAATTTCCCCTGTTGCAGAGCACGACCAAGCATTCGTGGGCCGTGAAAGCCGCGCCGCAATTGGAGAAGCCGCGATACGTCATATTCGCGCTGCAGACCGGACGGCGAATCGAATTCGCGGGCGACGCCTCGAGGTTCGATCATTGCGCGCTCGCCAACGTGAAATTGTATTTCAACTCGGAATTCTATCCCTACGACGACGTGAACGTGGATTTCGAGAGCGACAAGTTCGCCGTGCTGTACGAGATATACACGAAATTTCGAGGAGCGTACTACGGGAACGGTCGCGACGACGCGCTCTTTTCCCCGCGCGAATTCGCGCGAGTAGCTCCGCTCGCGGTGATCGATTGTTCCCGTCAAAACGAATCGGTGAAGAGCGCCACCG